TCTCTCTCTCTGTCTGTCTGTCTCTCTCTCTCTGTCTGTCTGTCTCTCTCTCTCTGTCTGTCTCTCTCTCTCTGTCTCTCTGTCTCTCTCTGTCTCTCTCTCTCTGTCTGTCTCTCTTAATTCAATTCACTGTTTAATTCAATTTAGCTTTATTTGCATGAACAAAAATATGTTATTGCCAAAGCATTTTATAGAATACACATATTACATATTAAATACAGTGTTATACTGATGCAGTCCCATACATTTACAATGATATTACAACACTACAGTTGTATACAGTTGAATACAGTTGAATAGAGTTACTTCATTTTGTGGATCTATTACTGAGGAAGATACATGGTCAGCTGCCAGAGAAGCTGCTGTCAGTTTCTCCTCTGGACTCTTAACATGACAGGTTGATATTTCCTTTGTTTCCCCGAAGTGGAAATCTCTTCTTAGTGCAAATAACTTGTGACAGTGGAGGAGGACGTGTATCTCTGTCTCTACCTCCCACATACATGCTGGTCTCTGGGCAGACATGTCTGTCTGTTTCACTGAGCCTGTCTGTCTGTGACTGTGATCAGTCTCTGACAAAGTGCAGACATTCAGCCAATATCGTCTGTTTAGGGTCAAATAACAATTTATTCTACTTTAGATCTTTGGACAGATTCATAACTCTCTCTCTCTCTCTCTCTCTCTCTCTGTGTGTGTGTGTGTGTGTGTGTGTGTGTGTGTGTGTGTGTTTGTGTGTGTGTGTATGTGTATGTGTATGTGTGTGTGTGTGTATGTGTATGTGTATGTGTGTGTGTGTGTGCACATTTTTGTAACGTTATGAATGTGTGCACTACACATCTGTAAGGCTTAAAACAGACGTCACTGTGACTTTAGTCATCATCAGCACTGACATCTCTACATGTCCTCCGCAGAGAACACACTGTCTTCCTTTGGATTCTGTACAAATAAACTTTTTAGATGCAGCATATTTTGGGGGTTATATTGTGAACCCTCCCCCGATATGCCAGATTTGGTTGAGTCCAGGGTTCCAGTAGATCCAAGATGGCAGACCAAGCGGGGATGTGCTGAAGTTCACTTTTAACTCCAAACGCTGGAGCTTGTTATCCTCCAATCCTCCGGTCGGATCGGTGTCTGGTGAGACCGAATGCTGGTGAGTCCAGAATCACTCACAGACTTCATATTGTGTGACACCGTGTCAGAGCTGAAGCCCGATAAAGTGCAGTGAGTGTCGTTAGTTAGCTGCCGTAGCATCAGCAGCTAACGTAGCTGCAGCGTTATCTCAGGTCCCAGTGATCCCAGTGGTTAGCGTTACGGGACTGAGGGCTGTGCTGGGAGTCTGTTTCATCGGCTGGGCATCATATGGATACGTCAGCTCCTTAGAGGGAACACGAGGAAGGTCCAGGTCACGGTCCGTTCTGCTGGTCAGAGTATCACACAGAGCCACTGAGAGCTGTTAGCTCTGCGAGCATTAGCTTCATTCTAGTGGTGCTGTTGCTCAACAGGGCTAGCCGTTAGCATGCTATCTGGAACCTCTGACGAGCTGCTAACATAAAGTTGACCCTGTTTCTTTTCCACCGCCTTTCGGATAACCTTCTTGTTTTAGTGTAATGGCCCTGAGGCATTACTGACACCGAGCTGTACCTTAACGTTTATGCTTTTATTTATTTATAACCGTGGCTCATCTGTTGTGTTGTCAAAAAGTGTAGCGGTAACGATAGTGTCGTGGGAGCTGACGTTTCACACACCGGCCTCCAGGTACACGTACCCGCTACAGTCCGGGCTACTACTAGTACTAGTGCACCGGAACGATAGCTCACATCTCACCGAGCTCCGGTGAGTGGCTGCGGTTTACAAGGACTGTGTGTGTGTGTGTGTGTGTGTGTGTGTGGGGGGGGTTCTAGTGAATTATTTAGAAATAACTGAAGAGTGACTTGTTGAATGAGGCTTGGTGCTACCTGGATCAGACTAGATTACACTTGCATGGTCTAATTCTGCATCTCCAGCCAGGTGATGTGTTGGGCTGAGTGAAGTTGCAGCCATGTGACTGGTGCAGTAACAGCATCACTCTGTCCTCCTGTAGTGAACAGGATCAGAGTGCTTGATCTGTGGAACCTCAATACCTTGAGTAGCGTCTGAAGTCAGACCCTGCATGAGAATTGAAAAGATCAAATTCTAAAAGTGGACACTTGTATGCTTGGCCAGATTCTGTTGTGTTTACCTAACCTTTGATCAGTGTTGCATCGTTTTGTAAACGTTGCCCTGTTCTCCAGTACAAGTCTGTTTCTCGCTGTGGATTGTATTCATGCTGCAGCTCAAACTGGGCTCAATGCTGGTCAGGAGGGTTTGATCAGGCGTCACAACCAGGGCTGACTTCGGATCAGATGAATACATGTTCATGAAACCGTGTGAAAAATCTTTAAGACACACACACACACACACACAAATAAAGAGAGCGATGTATAGAGAGAGGGTACTCAGACCTGGGCCCTGCATGGCAGTAAACATGAAAAAGACTAAAACAATTACTTTTCAAAAAAGACCCAGATCTGAGGGAAAAGCATACCTTCACATTAGAACACATAAGAACAACTGTACAGATTATATTTATTGAGGATTGAAAGTAAGTTCCACTGGAAGCTTTTAGCAACAAGTCCTTTGTCTGATGCAATTAGAAGGTCATTAGTTATTTTCACCAGAGCTGTCTCTCTGCTGTGATGCTTTCTGAATCCTGACTGAAAATCCTCAAATAAACTATTGTTACTTAGAAAGTCACTGATTCGTGACTGCTTTCTCAAGGACCTTAGAGAGGAAGGGAAGGTTAGAGATCGGTCTATATTGAGCCAACACCTCTGGAAGAGGGTTCATTTCAGCTACTTTAAGGACTGCGGTACATGTTAGTTAGTGAACAGATAATATCTAGTAAATCCATTTTAATTCAGCCAGAGTTCGACAGGAGGCTTGTGATTCCATGTTTAGGAAACATTGTCCTGGACCATGAGGTATAACTAACATATCACAACACTTTTCTCTTTTTAATGTGGAAGCAGTCAGTTACTTTGAGTATTGCCTTCGTGCCGACAACAGCCTTGTTTTCGGGTCGTCCGTCCCTCCGTCCGTCTGCTCCATTCTCATGAACTCGATATCTCATGAACTCCTGGAGGGAGTTTCTGAAAGCTTGCTACAAACGTTCAACTCAGCGATGAACTGTTGTCAAAGGTCACTGTGACCTCACAAAACACAGTTTTGTCCACCATAACTCATATGCTAATTATGACAATTTCCCACAAATGTCTAATAGCATAAAAATGATGAAGTGATGACATTTTTGACAAACATGGATATAAACTGTAACTTGAGTAGTTGGCAGAAGCAGTAATTACATTTTTTTTTACAATAAATAAACAAACTTTATGACCTGTTTGTGTGGATTATTGACAAATAACTATTATTGGCCCCTGTACCAGGACATCCCTGTTATTTATCAGATTTGATAGACCTTGTGCATAATTGTAAAATGTGGTGTCATTCAAACAGAATACATTTTGATTGTTCAGTTTCTCGTCATCCTAACCTCGGCACGTGTTCTGAGCTCATTGTTGAAGCTGATCATCACGTCTGTCCGCTGTTTGATGCTGAGCGTTGATGGATGCTCCTATTTTTAGATAACAGGTGTGGGTGATACGGATTAACTCATCAATCATTGACTGTATGCGTCATTGTATACAATAACAATATACAGTATTTGTTATGAACAGCAGCATTATCTGGAATTCTGTCGTCAAACATCTAACCAAATGAGAAGGTCTGCTGTCTGAAGATCCAGTGAATGAAAGGAAACCTGACCAATGAAGATGTGCTTTCACAATGATGTTCTCAGTGCTGGTTGAGCTGCATCAGTGCAAAGACGTCAAATGAAGATTGTCACTTCTGATGTGACACAATCAGTGCAACACTTATGAGAAGCTGAGGACAATAACATGTAGAAAATAGCAAAAATGATAAAAAAAATATGCCTGACATTGGGAGAATGTAGGATGACAGATACCAGAGAACGGTGCGTGTATAAAGTGGATAGAAATAATACATTTAAACAGAATGCGGTCTCTATATTATCCATCCACAAGTGTCACCTTTCTCCCTGAACCCTCTGACATGACTTGACGATCATAATTGAACTCGGTGGCTTTATACCTGCTTGCCTTGGTTTCTTTCAATGCTACTTTTCTTCCCTCATGTAGGAGAAACCAAGGCCGAGGATCAGCTGAAACCATCAGCTTTCTCAGTGTAAAACACAAACCATCTGTTGGTGTTGTCCACTCGGTGGTAGAACCACGACCTAATGGTGGCTCAATAGAACCGTCACTGACGATGGTGCAGTATCAAAGACATATTGGGAAGATTTAGGTGTTTCAGATGAGCCGAGTGGCTGTGAACAAGCTCTTGTTTGAGGGCATTATTGGGGGTTTCTGGTGAAAGAGTACCTGGATGGTGTGTGAGAGCGTGTTAAGACACGGCAGGTCGGCTGTAATGAATAGTTTGTTCAGGAAGCTGTCCTCTCAGGGACTTAAATACCTCATTTTAGAGGTTTGGAAGAACCTTTTCTTTCATTTCATGGAACTGGGGTTGGGTTGGATGATGAAGTGATTACTTATGAGTGATTATTTTAGATGGGTTGTACAATGTTATGGCAATAGGAACTTTATGAATTCCATTTTCTCAAGTAGCAGTTAAGTGTAGAATATCAATTCCTCTCTGTTTTGGTATATTTTTCATCTTCGGTGATTTACAAAGGGTATCAGACTGCTCAGTGACTGCCACTGATACAAATTATTGATCATTGATGATCCATATTAACAGATACAGATCCCTTTGTTGTTTGATTATAGATTATATCTGTAAACCAGACATTTTAAATGTTATCATTTTACTTTATTAAAATAATTTATAGTGGGGTTTTTCTTCATATAAACACACTATTCAAATAAGGAAACAAAAGATTGTATTTATATTGATTAAAACAAATCTTGTCATTAGTAGTTTTAATGATGTATTATTAGTGTAAACGGCTCATAATTCATCTCTAATATATATTTATGCTAATGTAAAAACATCTCCTTCAAACTACTGGATTTATTCAAGTTTATCACCAAAACTACATGTTACGAGAACATGTGAACACATCATGATAACATTGTAATTTACCTTCATCCAGTACTCATTTTCACTGAGCAGAGCCTGAAGGCATCGTAATGTAACTGGTGAACCTCCGTTGGTTAACCTGCGATGGTTAACGTTAACCTGCGATGGTTAACGTTAACCTGTGGAATCAAACAGGTTCACATGTGTGCTGAACTGTGAGAGGGATCAGTACCGATCACCGATCAACAACGGTCCTTATACCACTAGTTATCAGTGACGGTGTTAGCCCCTTCAGCTCTGAAGTCTGTATCTATATATCTATAGAGATGTAGATGCATAGATTCATTCACTAATTAATTTGGGTCTGCACTCTTTAGTATGTTTTCAAAGCCAATAGAAGTGATCCAGTTGACACACTTTATCATAGTTAATCATAAGTTTATCATAACCAAGCACATGTTACTGAGATGTCCTGATCAAAGCTACCTTGATCCTCTGTGACGAGTTGCGTTAGTGTGGATTTAAAACTGGATGAGTACTGTGTGTACGGCTGGAGTGTTGATGGACTCCTCTGTAGTCCGTCTTACCTTCAGCTCCGTCCTTCTTTAAATCCCAGTCTGCACAGGTAGCGCTTGACACACACTTCAATGAGGATGTCATTCACTAACGTTTTACGGAGCTCTCTCGCACGCTGGAGATGAACTACCTGCTATCAGTTCAGGAGCTCAGCTCACATAACTCTGGAAGATATTTGACCTCCTAGACCTTTATCGCTCCTAAAGTAGCTAACGGGTGTGAGAGCACGAGTCGGTCTGACATTGTGATCAGCTCTGTTTCAACAGAAGACATTTTTATTTTTACACATCCAATTTTCTATAGAGCATTACTCATTGGCTCCATTTCGAGTGACCTTTGAATGAAAGCATTTCTGTGTCAGACACAGAGTTGGTTAAAGGTTACTTTCACTGAGTTCCTCTGAATGTTTAAGGTAGCATTTAGGAATGATTCTGTTCTCATAAAGCCACTACCTTGCCTGAGCAGTGAGCTCCTTTGCAGCACACAGTGACCACTAGCGTCAGTGCAGCCTGTAAACACAGCTCAGGGTCCCTGTACTCAAGGCTCAGGCTGTACCACTTTGAAAGGCTCAGGCTGTACCACTGTCTTTACTCAACTATCCTCATATCTCCACCAAAACAACCTCTTGGACCCTCACCAGTCCGGGTTCAAAGGGGGTCACTCGACTGAGACAGCCCTCCTTGCGGTGACTGAGTCGCTTCACGCAGCGAGATCTAACTCTCTCTCCTCTGTCCTGATTCTCCTGGACCTGTCTGCGGCGTTTGACACTGTTAACCACCAGACCCTCCTATCCACCCTCGAGGGGATGGGCGTTTCAGGCTCTGCACTCTCCCTGTTTGCATCCTACCTGACAGGTCGATCCTACCAGGTGTCATGGAGGGGCTCTGTGTCGGAACCACGCATGCTGACTATGGGGGTTCCACAAGGCTCAGTCCTGGGCCCCCTACTCTTCTCGCTCTATACAACATCTCTGGGTTCTGTTATTCGCTCGCATGACTTCTCTTACCATTGTTATGCCGATGACACCCAGCTGGTCTTGTCATTTCCCCCCGGGGACACTCAAGTGGAGGCACGCATCGCTGCGTGCTTGGCTGACATCTCGAAGTGGATGACGACACACCACCTCAAGCTCAACCTGGACAAAACCGAGCTACTGTTCCTCCCGGGGAAGGGTTGCCCGCACCGAGACCTGTCCATCACCATTGATGATACCGTGGTGACGCCAACTCGGACTGCCAGAAACCTGGGTGTGACCCTGGATGACCAAATGTCGTTCTCAGCAAACATTGCATCGGTTACACGCTCCTGCAGATTCCTGCTCTACAACATCAGGAGGATTCGCCCCTTCCTCACTGATGAGATGGCGCAGGTGCTAATCCAGGCTCTTGTCATCTCCCGCCTGGACTACTGCAACTCACTACTTGCCGGAGCCCCGGCGTCGGCATCGGCCATCCGACCTCTGGAGCTTGTCCAGAAAGCTGCAGCTCGCCTGGTGTTCAATCGCCCCAAGTTCTCCCACACAACTTGCCTTCTCCGTTCTCTACACTGGCTACCTGTAAGAGCCCGCATCCAGTTTAAGACTCTGGTGCTAGCCTACAGGGCAGTGAAAGGAACAGCTCCTTCCTATCTCCAGGCCATGGTCAAGCCCTACACCCCCGCACGACCACTTCGCTCTGCTGCCTCGGGGCGACTGGTTGCCCCGTCGCTCAGAGGTCCCTGCGGCCGAACAACCCGGTCGCGGCTGTTTTCTGTCCTGGCCCCACAGTGGTGGAATGAACTCCCCACTGACGGCAGAGTCGCTGCCCATCTTTCGGCGCAGGCTGAAAACTCACCTCTTCAAGAAGGCCTACCCTTCCGCTTAGCACTTACTTAGCATCTATTGTATTGTATTCATACTAGCTTATTGCACTTATTGTTTTTATATTAGTTTGTGGCACTTATTGCATTCGTTTGTTTCTGCACTGTACGTTGGCTCTGGTTTATGCTCTTAGATGCTTGTTTGAGGAAAGGACATGCACTTATTACTTCTGGTGACTAAAACCGATGTTGAATACACTTATTGTAAGTCGCTTTGGATAAAAGCGTCTGCTAAATGACTGTAATGTAATGTAATGAAACTGATGATTTATTTCTCTGCTGTGGTTATTATTTTATCCCCCTTCACACCCCTCCCCACCTCACATTCTCTGGTTCTGTCCGGTCCCCCAGTGTTGCAGCTCGGCTCAGTAATCCATTAAACAGATCTCATTAGGACCACAGTCTCTCTTTATGAACTATTCCTCCCCCTCATCTTCCTCACCTTCAACCCGTCTGTCTGTCTTTGTCTAGCGTTTTGTTAAGCAGCACTGGTCGCTGTTCAGATGGACTACTTGGACCTGGTAGTGTTTGTGTGGACAGGGTGCTGTTCCAGCCCTGCATTAATGCTCCCCATGTTACTCTTGTTACAGGCTGTAGATGTCATGTCGCGGTGCAAACCTCATCCCAACTACATGTGAGTCCAATGGTCGGAGGTAACCACCAGGGTCGTGGTAATAAACATAAGGGAAAGTGTGTGTTAATTAGTGGCGGGCTGTGCATTTTCTACCTGGGCCTTCTGTGCTGTCCTACTGAGCTACATTTTTTGTTTCTAGGGGTGTAACAATACACGTATTCGTAATAAACGGTTCGGTACGAGGCTTATGAACCGAACAATATGTTTGAATAATACTAGTGCATTTGGAAAATGCAGAAGCTTAAATTGTGGGAAATATAATGTTTGAACCCGGAACAATAACAAAAAACAGCTGAGGCCCCGCGTGTGTTCAGGGAGGCTAAGCTAAACTAGCTTAGCGGGGAAACAACAGCAGTTAGCTGTTCCCTACTGATTCAAACAGAATCAAATGTCCGAAATAACCCGCGATGACGGGATGCTTCGTCATTAATGGACAAGTCAGAACCAATGTAATTAACACAATGACAAGAACCAGTCACATATATTTATATGACAACATAAAATGTCAAGCATGACAAATCAACGCTGGAGCACGAGCCATTCATATTATTCATAAAAACTATACGACAGACAAATGAACACAGTAGTAACGCTACTGCAGATGTAAAAACTAAAGCAGTTCACTTACCAAAGCTGCCTTCACTTAAAGACAAAGTCCATCCTCCTTTCTTTGTTAACAAAGTCAGTAACTCCTAAATCCATTTCTCCTCCTTCAGCCATTCAGTGTTAAAAAAACAAAGCTAGGTAAAAAAAAATCTACACCAAACAAAACACTAAAAATGTCATAACTTCTCTTACATATGCTTCAACCTAAACTCTTACTGAACACTAAGATCTGCTAGCTAGCTTTGTGTTTGACAAAAGTCACGCTGGCCCACTGACCAATCACGGCGCACCTTAATGCAGACGTACTTAGCAGGCTACCTGGGTAGCAGTGGAACGTCAAAGAATGCATCCAACATGTCAAACTAAAGATCTGACTGGTTGAAGACTATGACAATCAACAATATCGTCCCCATTTACTTAAACTGCAAAGGCTCTCTAGAGCAGTGATTCTCAACTGGTGGGGCGCGGGCCTGTTTTCATTGGGCCTTTGCCTGGGAAAAAAAAAATAAAAAAAATCCTGTGCTTTTATTTTTATTTTGAAGGGGATTTTTTTAATGCAGCGGAATGCCGTCTATTCACAATCCTTAACAATATTTGCCTTGTAATGCTAATATCAGCAGAGGATAAACTGAAAACTATACCTATATGACACTATAAGTAGACAAATTGAAGACATGTCGGATGACATCAAACTACAGACCACAGCTCGAATTTAGGCAAGTGGTCATTTTGCATTACAAATGGACAAATCTACAGACATAATAAACAAAGCAGTTTTACTCGTTTACGTGAAACATGTGTGGGACGGGGACTGACAGGAACAATTTCTCTGCACAAGAGAGCTCCCTATACTACGACTGCAGAGGACATGTTCAGCTCAGGTTCAAACTGCACCATCTTTACTTTAAATGAATTTGAGAAGTTGAACATTTTCCGCGATTTGGGTCGCGGCTTGGCATTAAGGGGTGATGGTGGGTCCCGCAGCCAGACCAGGGGCTGAATCTGATTGGATAAAAGCTCTCCTTAAAACAAGCTGTGCTGGAAGCAGAGCAACAGAGGAAGACAGTAGCTGTGCAATGAGATAATAAGCTCATGGGGAAAATGATTATAATACATGTAGTGTATTTATGAAAAATGATTAAGTTATAAAATAGCTATAACTTTGTGATTGTCTAGGCCAGCAGAGAAGGCTTAGCTGGCCCTGACGGCCCACCACTGGTGTTAATACAGTTTATAATGGAGCATTAATATCAGTTGTGTTCTTTGGGAGAGCCGTGTTGTAAAACACATCCCTCTGAACCCCAAGCAGTTCAGCAGCGTTTCTTTCACTTTCTCTCCGTGGCCTCGTTTTTCACTGCAACGTAAAAGTCGTGCTCCTCTATGGAAACAGCACCATCATGGCTAGAAGCAGAGAGAACTCAGATGTCTGTTGTGTAGTATACAACACAATGTCGTAAATCATAAAAAAGAAAGAAAAAAACGCACGTTGAATTTCTTTGATAATTTATTTTACAAAATGTGGAAAACAATGGAATGAAACGTTTCTCCGAGTGCCTACAAGTGTTACCGAGGTTTGACTAAAGGAGGCTCTGCGTGCTATATTCATTGAACTATACAGCTCAGTCAAAGTTTCACAAAACGTTTGTCATGTCTGTCTCAGGCGAGACAACTGAGCAGTGGCGGCTGGTGGAACATGTTCTAGGTAGGGCCATCCTATCAATTTCAGCAAACATCCCAGTATGATTTAATGCAAAAAAATTAAAGTATCAAACACGCATTACTACTTTGCAGTTAAATATTTAACATTTATTCCAACACGAAAAAAAGCAGTAAATAACACTTATATAATATAATATAACATGTTTATTTATTGAGATGCCCCTATGGACCTTGTTATAGGAGGTAAAGATCAGGAGAAGCAAACATGAAGTGTAATTATGAATACTGATGTTAAATTAAGCTATGATGAGTTTTCACTGTTAATTTACCATCTCAATTAAATGTTGATGCCTCCATGACCAAGTTAAGCAGATGAGACTGAGGACAACTACGTAGAAGAAAAGATGTTCACTTTGCCTAATATGTAGCTTGACAGAGTTCTCCATGTGTGCCCTGGTGTTCTCATGTTTCCTTACCTCCTCATCCCTCACTCCCGTAGCTGTCCGTGCTGGATCTGTCCCCGTTGTTTTAAAAAGCTAAATACGTTATTAGCATGACGTCATCCAGCTAGCCAAACCTGTCTGGTGTACAGCTAGTACAGAAGCTTCGCATGTACTGCTTCCCTTTCCCGCTAGTCTGCTGTCTGATTGTGAGGTCAGGCTGATCTGATATCAGCTCTTTGGTCTGCAGAATCTCCGCCAAAGTTCTCCTCTCAAACGAGACTTGGAGGAGTAGTGCTGGCCTGTAGAGACTTCTCCTGACGAGAACGCGCAGCTAGGGGGGCCAAATCGTTTTGGCCCCACGCTGAATCTATTTGAGGGCGCTGATTGGCTAAATTGTATGTCACTCATTTATATTTTTAATCAGCAATTGGCTAAACTGCTTCATAGACCCGCCTCTTTTGGGCCAAAACGATTTGGCCCCCCTAGCTGCGCGTTCCGAGACGTGTCGTGCACACAGGCGGAGAGGACGAGCAGGAAAAGCATATATTTTGCGCAGATATCATATTTTACACATATTACTGGGTACATTCCATAGTTCAAAAACACAAATATTGACAATTTGTATAATTTATGATTATTATAACTTTTTTTTTTTTTTTTGTTTTTGTATGGCTCAAGGTGGGGCCAGGCCCCATGGCCCTCTATTGGCCAGCCGCCACTGCAACTGAGTATTTCAATTGCCTTTCAACGGCTCTCAACATGGCAACAGCGAGCCGGCGACTCAAAGCTAACAGTGCTAGCAACAGAGCTAACAGCGTTAACCTGAGGGGGAACAGGAGGACGACGCTGTCAGTCTGGACAGCATTATCAGCTGTAACCACCGTATGAGAGCAAGGCAGAGCGGCAGGCGTGAGCTAACCAGTGGGGCATGCTCACATGCACGCTCATATGTACTAATGTGCACTAAAAGGCTCACTGTGATAACAACAAGTAGCTGAATCACTGCTAGTGATGGGTATCAATTATCTATACTTGTTACAGTCAGCTCCATACCCTCCTCACTCTACCTGTCAGCCACTCCCTCTTCGTCAGTCTAACTCCCTTCACCTGTTCACTCACCTGCCTCTGATCACTAACCAAGCCACTATATAGACTCCTGCCTCTCAAACACTCATTTCCAGATTGTTCTACTTGCTATTCGATGCCAGACTTTCCAGCACTTTATCCCGGACTGATTTCCTGTTGTCGACTCTTCCTGCCCTGGATCTACCCGTCCCGCTGGACTCCCGGTAAACTCACCAGCCTCCTGTTCCTGACCTGGATTCATTCTGCCTGCCAATTCTGCTGCCCTGCCAGAGACTTTGATGTGTCAGTCTGTACCTGTTGAGTTTATAATAAAAGCCAACGGTTCCTGGAATCTAGTGTGCTGCAATTGGGTCTATATACAATCGTTACAGTACAATCTGGCCAGTCATGGACCCAGCGCACACCTCTTCACCACAGTCCCGTTTCGAGAGGATCGAGGGGATCCTCCAGCAGCATGAGGCGCTGATGGCCAATGTTCCCAGCCCTGGAGAAGGTTTCCTGCCCTTCTGCCCAGGCCTTCGTCCGCCGCTTCTGCCGCACCTGGGCCGAAGCCAGAGCAGCGCTCCTCCGCACAGCCAAATGGTACTTCACACCGCCCAACTGGTGCCGCACCAAAGCCCTCATCTACCATTGATGGAAGTCCTGCCTACACGGTTCGCTGCCTGCTTTGTTCCCGCCGCCGTGGGGGAGGCCTGCAATACCTGGTCGACTGGGAGGGCTACTGTCCAGAAGAAAGATCCTGGTCCCAGCTCGACACATTCTGGATGCAACCTCTCATCAGGGAGTTTCACCGCTGCCATCCTGACCAGCCCTCCAAGGCTGGTCAGCTGGGTGCCCACTGGGGCTACCCAGCTACATTCTGTTCCCCCTCTTCCATCTGTAACATCAGATGTTAGGAGGAGTCTCCCTCTGATGGACAGTAGAGATAATGCAAGTCTTAAGACACTTGTGTGTGTGTGTGTGTGTGTGTGTGTTTGTGTTTTGTTGGACACAGAGCAGGGGTAGAGGCTGCAGCAATAATAAATGACACAAATAACGTTAAAAAGTACAGATTATGAGAATCAATACTCTGGTCTACCGGGTTTTTGGTACCCATCCCTAATCACTGCATCGGTCTCCTGCTGATGTGTGTTTGTCTGCTGTTTGTTTTAGGCCTCACAGTACTTCCAGCTTCCAGTTGCTATAGTCAGTCAGAGGCTGAATGTTTTATCTTTAATCTTTAGTTAAACCATAAGCGCCACACACAACACAACTGGAAGCTCCATGATGGGATGTTTCTTATTGCACTGCTCTTTGCTCCTTACTTTAAAATAAATCTAAAACAGTTATTGATGGTACTGATTATTCACAAATTATTCATGTCCATCGAATCCTTGAACTTGAGCTGTCTGAGACTGTCTCTCCAGGCCTCCCTGAATGACTCCTCCATACTCAAAGTAGAGAATTGACGAGGCCTCGCTTGTTTTCATTTCACGTTGAAAGTTCTGCTCATATTGTATGAAACCTCTTGGATTTGTTATTTGAAATAATCAGAATACAGCTTTATCAACATGTTTTCTTTTCTCTTTCTCCTCCCTTTCTGCTCTCTCCATCTCTCTCTAGCAGGGGTCCTCTGGATCAACGGGTTTTCAGACCCTGCAGTGTTTTCCAGGTGAGACTTGCACACCTTTCTCAATCTACAACAGTCCAATACTTCAACCTCTTCTTCCAGAGGGAGAGGCTTCCTTTGGATTCTTGGTGGTTTCCTTGAACTAAAAGCTACTTAAACCTCTCACTACCATTTGGGGCTGCAGACACGTCAGAATTACCATTAGACAGCTGTAAGGATGGCTCCTGATTTTCTAATCTAATTAAATTATAAAAAAATCAAATAGTTTATGCGACAATTGTCTTATCATAAGTAAATCTTGACTGAATAGTTCCCAGTGATTATCAAATAGTGTTTTTGCTTAATATGCTCATCCCTAATAAGAACTGAATGTTGACCCCCCTCAACTCTTCGTTCATCTCACCCTCCTCTGTCCTCATCCTCTAGGTGTCTTTCTGGGATGTCCAGGCTCGGGGGCCTGAGGGGGCTCAGCCCTGAAGCACAGAGAGACTACACAAGCCTCTACAGATGGACGCATCCACATGTAGAGACACCTGCACAGCTGCTTGAGAGAGAGAACTGACCAATCAACAAACTTCTCCCTCTTCGGTCGCCTAACATTTGACATTCCATCCATCAAACAATCATCCATCCTTCCGTTTTTCCATTCAGTCGTCTAGAGTGTGCTAGAAGTGGAGAGCAGGTAACGGATGATGCTGGCCATAGTGACCTAGTGTAAATGGCTATTCCTCAGCACAGATCAGTGCCAGTATCGACTGCTCAATCTTCCTCCTCCACTCCCCCCTCCTCTCCCCCCTCCTCTACCTCTCTGCTCTCCTTCCCTGTTCACCGCTGCCGCTCGCTGCCCGGTCCCGCCTCTCCCCTCCAACACCATGGTAGGTGCAGGCTTGGGCGTGTGGAAGCTAATGCGAGGTGTCCGCCAGCTGGAGCTCCACCGCCTCATCCTGGCACTTATCATCTTCTGCTTACTGTCCATGGCCTTCCTAGCTTACTATGTCTCCAACAGCCCCAAAATCAAGGAGGCCCCCCCTTTGCCCTTCAGTGACTGTGGCGGAGGAGGGGGGATGTCGCCGGGAGCGAGCACCGGAACTGCCGGAGGAGGGCCAGGTGTCCAGAGGGCACCGCTTTTCCTCCCCCAGCGCCAAGGCAGACTACGGCAGGTAAAGGCGGTGGACAACTCCAGGACAGAGCCCGTGGTTCTGGTGTTCGTGGAGAGCATCTACTCCCAGCTGGGCCAGGAGATTGTAGCCATATTAGAGTCCAGCCGCTTCCACTACCGGACAGAGATTGCTCCTGGTAAAGGAGACATGCCCACATTAACGGAGCATAACCGTGGGCGCTACACACTGATCATCTATGAAAATGTGTTGAAATATGTCAATCTGGATGCTTGGAACCGCGACTTGCTGGACAAGTACTGTGTTGAGTATGGAGTAGGCGTCATTGGCTTTTTTAAAGCGAATGAAAACTCTCTCCTCAGTGCACAGCTCAAAGGTTTCCCCCTCTTTCTACACTCACACCTGGGACTCAGGGACTACCGCATCAACCCCAATGCTCCTCTACTCTACATTACCAAGCCCAACCAGGTGGAGCAAGGCTCTCTACCAGGGGATGACTGGACCATTTTCCAGTCCAACCACTCTACCTATGAACCAGTGCTTCTGGCCAGCACCAAGTCCTCTGAGGCACTGGCACATTTTGGACCCAGCCCCTTGCGGGCTCTCTACGCCACCGTGGTCCAGGACTTGGGGCTCCACGATGGCATTCAAAGGGTTCTCTTTGGAAACAATCTCAACTACTGGCTTCACAAGCTGGTGTTTGTGGACTCCATTGCCTACCTGACAGGGAAGAGACTGTGCTTGTCTTTGGACCGCCACATCCTGGTGGACGTAGATGATATATTCGTTGGCAAGGAGGGAACCCGTATGAAGGTGTCGGATGTGGAGGTGAGTGATACGGAGTCAATACAAGACACCACACATGATCAGACATTAGCTTTAGTTGGCTCTCACTTTGCGTAGTAGTTGAATGTGAGATGTTGACACAGGTTCATATAAAGAGGACTTCAGATGGTATGCCAAGGAAGTGTAGTTAAAGAATCAGTTCAGTTTGTAGGATGACTATTGTTGAGTAATTCATTTGAAGTAAGGTGGATTAATGAACGAACTGTAATTGATATGTTTATAATGAAAATACATCAAATGATAATGTGATATGTTTGTAATATTCTGCCCAATAGTTTGTATTTGCACTATGACACTCTCAGATGATACATGCAGCTTAGAATCCAGTGCTTTGGCTGCCTAATTACACATCCGGATTTATAACTCACAAATATGACTTCACTCACAAAACAATATTTTATCCTCTGAATTTCTGGAGATATGCATTCCTTCTGTGTAGTTTCTGTTGGATCGTTGGCAGACACATGTCCCACCAAGCCATTTATAGATTTATTAGCTAGACTGGATATTCATTACTGATCTGCAATGTCAATTCAAGATACCTGGAATTGTATCTGACAGGTCAAAATTCTAATTTTAGATATCTGTAATTACATTTTGACTAGAACAATTCAAACTACTTTTGCCATTTGTGTGTATGGGGTTTCTTATTACAGATATAATTCAGTTGCAGCTATCTGCAACTGAATTATGATTGTTCATAATTCCAATTGAAGATATCGGTTTTCCCGCATTTTAGTTTGAGTAATCTTGACTAATGACATTCGAGCAGGCTTTGGGTGAATGCAGGTAAACAGGCCATGTGGAGAACTCAGTGGCTGAAATGCATTCTGGGAAGGCAGCGGCTATCGTCTGACAATGAGTTAGCCTTTCATTGGTTTAAAATGAGCTTGTCTAGTGTTTACTTGTAAAACAATCCACTCGTACCATACACTGTGTCGAAGTGGGCGTAGCCATGGTGACGCCACTCATTGGTTTGTGGACTGATGTTTTGAAGCCTCAAGTTCAGCGGTTCAGCTGTTGCAAACTTGTCTTTTGCAACCAGTGAACGGAGATGATCATATTTGGATTGTGGAAGAGTGACTTAGAAATGCCGTATATGACTCTGGTAAAGACCTGTCAATCACTGTAAGCCCCGCCATAAAGCATCCCCTGCTTTATGGTCTGTTTGACTCTAAATGGACCATAATTTACTAAATGATCATGCTGTATTGAAGAACTCTTGTAGTCTATTACTTTGTTAATTGCTGCAATGAGATCTGAGAAATTGTCACCATATGGGGTCTGGCGCCTACATTAAAGGCTTCACCAACACTGACAGAGAAAAACCCAATGTAACAAGTGTAAAGCAGCAGCTGGACATGGACCCACTAATCAAGAGGACAGAGATGTAGAGCTCTGTCTGGAAGCTGCTGCTTGTAAGGTAGAATTCATGCTTATGTTGCTGGCTGTGAGACTGTGTCTGTCTTGGGTTTTACAGATCTGATCCTTCTGTTAGATTCTATTCCATCACTCTTCCTGCCTTCTCTACTTGAACACGTCAGGATGCTGCTCAGTGGTTATTAGGTAGCACAGGGACGATTGGGCCCATGGTTCTCTCTGTGGTCTCTTTGTTTGGTGCTCTCCTGTCCTGTTAGTTCATATTTCTTCCGGGCCGTCAGTGTTGCTTCCACTGTCAAAAGACACCCTGGTCAGATGAATAGCAAACTAGGTGTAACAGTTGTCCTGTGAAAGACCTGACCCCACGGCTGCCTGTCACCCATTGTATGCATGTTTCACTCTTGAGTTTTCAATGACACCATGGTGAGGCCATGTCTATCATAGGAGACCCCCCTGAAATGGGACAAAGCTAGTGTGTCTCCATCTGAAAAATATGTTCATAAACATGCGGTTACATTAGAATATTAACACTTATTGTACAGGTCACCTCCATACTGATCTGTAGAATGATTATAAAAATGCTTCTTCTGTGAAATAACATTGCAGAAAGCAGCATAAAGACATCCGTAACAAAAGAGTTTGCATAAAGTCGTTAGGACATGTGCCTTGGGGCTTGCAGGATCATTGAGGTGAAGCAACATTGGTTCATTTTGTAATCCTTCAATAAGTATGAAATGAAATGATGCTTCCACTGAGTAAGAGTGAGGTGTGTTTTTCATCCTTTCACAGGCATTGCTCAACACTCAAAACAAGCTGAGAGCGCTGGTCCCTAATTTCACCTTCAATTTGGGATTTTCAGGAAAGTTCTATCACACAGGTATGGATCATCTGACCTTCTTGTATCGACAAAGCTTTGTGTTTGAAATGTGGTGTTGTAGCACAGCTCTGGGTCTTTGACCTTTTGTACCTGGAAAGAGGAAAGAGGGGCCATCATCTCTGCCTTTGACACGACAAGCTTTGGTGGGAGTTTGCAATGACTCCTTTGGAAGAATTAGTTGCCTTATTTATCCAGGAAAAAGCAAATTGTAAAATTGGGACAATTAACTGAACTCTAATATTAACCATATTAAAGGATGCAATTCAAAATAACTGTGCAAACCAATACTCTAACTTACCGGACAAGCGTGTACGATTGAGTGACATCTAGTGGTGAGGTTGCAGATTACAACCAACTGAAACTTCTCCGGTGTGCCAAGCGTGTCGCAGAGCTACGGTGGTCGTTGACAAAACGCGAAAGTGTTTGCTATGTCCTGAGTGCACACAGTGCTGGTAAACTTCAGCTGCTGTCCATGAACGTAGTTGTACTTTTCTTCTTATTAAAAACAAAACTATTTGTTAGGATTCACAGATTACTCTGTGGCACCTACACCTTTTCACAAATCATTTTCCATCCATGATGTTGACCGTTTCTAGTTTCTTTCTCCACCATATAGGTGTTCTAAAAGGAAATGGATGTGTTCAGGGATGCATGCAGCTGGGGGTGGGAGGAGAACATCTGTCTTTATCCTGTGGAGCTCATAGGATCCTTTTTTGTAAAGTAACATGAGGCCAGATGTTGCACTAAAAACACAGGAAATGTGACTGATCGTGGATGTGCTCAATTTATTACCAACACCGACATAGAAAGGATGTGTGTTTTCAGGAACTGATGAAGAGGATCGGGGAGACGACATGCTGCTCCAGCACAGGATGGACTTCTGGTGGTTCCCTCACATGTGGAGCCACATGCAGCCTCACCTCTTTCACAACGTCAGCGTCTTGGCAGAGCAGATGAGGCTCAACAAGATCTTTGCTCAGGTTAGCCGCTCTATTACTGCACACATGGCCAGTGTGGCTGCATGGAGAGTGGAAGGAGCAGGACGACACTGTGTTGGCGATTGTGGCTAAGTGGATAGCAGGGCCGGCGGTTCGAACCCCGGCTCCGGCTCCGCTAGTCGCATGTCGATGTGTCCTTGAGCAAGACACTTAACCCCAAAATTGCTCCCGTAGCTGTGCCTACGGTGTAGAAATGTGATAGAATCTGAATTGTAAGTCGCTTTGGATAAAAGCGTCTGCTAAATGACTGTAATGTAATGTGTTCCTTTGGGACCACATGGCTACAGGAGTGGTGTCGGCTTTGACCTCGTTCTGTAGAGGGAGATGGCAGCTCAACAGTAGATGCCACATCGAAGTGGTCAGAGAGCTGGAAATTTGAGATGCAGCTCTGCATTGTGTGTGTCAAGTTATTAATATCTGGGTTGATGATGTGTGAGACACAGATTTGATGCTAAATTTGGCCTTTTGTTACCACTCGAGTATTGATAAGAATCATCAAAGATCCCCTCGAGAAACGACCTCTAGCTCACCCGGAGCTTTTTTGACGATTTGCATGGCGATAACTTGTGTTGTGTGAACTGCTCAGAAACCCCCTTATTGTCAGTATACGTAGACAAGCCATCTGTCGTCTGAATGCTGAAGGTTTCTGTTTTGAGGTTGTAAAGTTTCATGAGGCTGTGATTATCCTAGAGGGCACAACAGGTCATTTTATACAGGGAAGTCAAGTCTGTCCTTGTGAAATGGCTATTGTTGGGACCAACATGAATACCGTTGGACTCATTGCATCCACAAGAGCCTCAGCTATACAGTCAAACCCAATCTATGCAATTCAAGACTGCTTAGGCCATAGAAATACAATAGGAGTAGAACTGATGCTGAACTGTTTACCATGGTCATTTGACTAGTACAAAAAAACAATGGGGATTGTTGTCAGTGGACCCCTAAAGTGTTGTAGCAGCTCGTTGGGAAGAGAGCAGATGCGGTCTGGAGATGTATTGCTGGAGCTTGTTCTTCTCCAGAGGGTCAGGAGTATTTCTGTTTAGGGATAAAACAGAAATACTTAAATACACCATTTTAGAATAGGTGACAACAACACACTCGTGCTGCTTGCAAACAACTGCATTGTTTTTGCCCCAAACTGCATGGGATTAGCATCGAGTGGGCATATCAGGGGAACCCTGTGAATGTGGCCGTGCCAGTTTCCCCCTTTCTTTCCCCCGACAAGCCGACGTGGTTGATACCGATGGAATCCTTTTTAGTCTCATATGACTGTAGCTTCACTCTAGTTTTAAAGCTGTTTCAGCCTCTGGACAGTATGTTGGCGGGCTGTGGGATCGCTACCCGGTTAAAGAGATGTTTAGTATTTAGAGAAGCAGACCTAGATATACTTTATTCTCTCCTGACTTTAACTTTCTTTTTACCATCTTGCTTACCCCTTCGCACCCTGTCCTCTCTCCACACCTCCTCTCCAGGAGCATGGCATCCCAACAGACATGGGCTATGCAGTGGCTCCGCACCACTCTGGGGTTTACCCAGTTCACAGCCAGCTCTATGAGGCCTGGAAGTCTGTGTGGGGCATCAAGGTGACCAGCACTGAGGAATACCCTCATCTGAGGCCAGCTCGATACCGCCGCGGCTTCATCCACAATGGGATCCAGGTCAGTCCACGGTCCACCTGCATTGCAGTAGTGTAGACATATTTTTCAGTCAAAACAGAAGATTGATGTGGACAGTTGAGCAGAAAATAGTTTTCAGAGTTTGCTGCACAACAGCAACATGATTTCTGGAAGTCACTGAGAGCAATTCAAATGTACATTTCGAATGCTTTGAGCACGCACACATGAAATTGCATTTACCTCCATTCTATTAAGCCCAGTTCAGACCAAAGGAGAGACGAGTTGGAACATGCAACTGCTTGCAATGCAGCGGTCTGCAATGTTCTGTCAGTTTACACCAATCGAGGGAGCCTGGCCACAGAATTACTAAATGTGCGGGTCATATGGATTGTCTTGTTTGATTGGCTGTTAGAACCGGTGACATGGCTTACGGTCCAAAACCAGCTACTGGCATCATCATGACACCATCAGCCCACTTGATTTGAGCAGAGATGGGCCAGCTCTCTCTCTCTCTCACACACACACACACACGCACACAGCAACGTTCTAAAACTGTTTCGTCTCTAATCTATGGTCTGAACTGGGCAGAACTTCCCTTCATTGGACTTTGTTTATAGTACAGCATCATAGCGAGTTCACAGGGTTACACAAACATCACATATCTAAGAAGTTTCCTGGCACTAAGTTGGACAGAGATAGCTCAGGAGCACGGTGCATAGATGTGGGGTACAGAGCTGACAGTCCTTGAAGCAGGATGTTTTGTTGGACACGTGTCAGAGGGCAGGACAGTAAAAATAAGAGAATAATCTGATGTCAGGGAAATTAATTTCAACATTTCCTTTGAGAATGAACTACTACACCATCAATCAGAGCTCCCCAAACAGATGATACTGACATCTGAAATAGCTATGTTATGTTCAGGATCATATTAAAGTACAGTTAGTAGTTTATGGGTTTGGGTTTCTCACTGTGGCAACCCACCAAAGTCTATTTTGTCCCGCCACAGTTTCATAATGAACTGAACATATTTTTTATATATATACAGGTGCTGGTCATATAATTAGAATATCATCAAAAAGTTGATTTATTTCACCAATTCCATTCAAAAAGTGAAACTTGTCTATTATATTCATTCATTACACACAGACTGATATATTTCAAATGTTTATTTCTTTTAATTTTGATGATTATAACTGACAACTAAGGAAAATCCCAAATTCAGTATCTTAGAAAATTAGAATATTGTGAAAAGGTTCAATATTGAAGACACCTGGTGCCACACTCTAATCAGCTAATTAACTCAAAACACCTGCAAAGGCCTTTAAATGGTCTCTCAGTCGTGTAGTAGGCTACACAATCATGGGGAAGACTGCTGACTTGACAGTTGTCCAAAAGACGACCATTGACACCTTGCACAAGGAGGGCAAGACACAAAAGGTCATTGCAAAAGAGGCTGGCTGTTCACAGAGCTCTGTGTCCAAGCACATTAATAGAGAGGCGAAGGGAAGGAAAAGATGTGGTAGAAAAGAGTGTACAAGCAACAGGGATAACTGCACCCTGGAGAGGATTGTGAAACAAAACCCATTCAAAAATGTGGGGGAGATTCAGAAAGAGTGGACTGCAGCTGGAGTCAGTGCTTCAAGAACCACTACGCACAGACGTATGCAAGACATGGGTTTCAGCTGTCGCATTCCTTGTGTCAAGCCACTCTTGAACAACAGACAGTGTCAGAAGCATCTCACCTGGGCTAAAGACAAAAAGGACTGGACTGCTGCTGAGTGGTCCAAAGTTATGTTCTCTGATGAAAGTAAATTTTGCATTTCCTTTGGAAATCAGGGTCCCAGAGTCTGGAGGAAGAGAGGAGAGACACACAATCCACGTTGCTTGAGGTCCAGTGTAAAGTTTCCACAGTCAGTGATGGTTTGGGGTGCCATGTCATCTGCTGGTGTTGGTCCACTGTGTTTTCTGAGGTCCAAGGTCAACACAGCCGTATACCAGGAAGTTTTAGAGCACTTCATGCTTCCTGCTGCTGACCAACTTTATGGAGATGCAGATTTAATTTTCCAACAGGACTTGGCACCTGCACACAGTGCCAAAGCAACCAGTACCTGGTTTAAGGACCATGGTATCCCTGTTCTTAATTGGCCAGCAAACTCGCCTGTGGGGTATTGTGAAGAGGATGATGCGAAATGCCAGACCCAACAATGCAGAAGAGCTGAAGGCCACTATCAGAGCAACCTGGGCTCTCATAACACCTGAGCAGTGCCACAGACTGATCGACTCCATGCCACGCCGCATTGCTGCAGTAATTCAGGCAAAAGGAGCCCCAACTAAGTATTGAGTGCTGTACATGCTCATACTTTTCAGTTGGCCAAGATTTCTAAAAATCCTTTCTTTGTATTGGTCTAATTTTCTGAGATACTGAATTTGGGATTTTCGTTAGTTGTCAGTTATAATCATCAAAATTAAAAGAAATAAACATTTGAAATATATCAGTCTGTGTGTAATGAATGAATATAATAGACAAGTTTCACTTTTTGAATGGAAGTATTGAAATAAATCAACTTTTTGATGATATTCTAATTATATGACCAGCACCTGTAGATCACAGTTGGGTGAAAAAGTGTTTGCCCCCTTCCTGATTTCTTATTTTTTTGCATGTTTGTCACACTTAAATGTTTCAGATCATCAAACAAATTTAAATATTAGACAAAGATAACACAAGTAAACACAAAATGCAGTTTTTAAATGAAGGTT